TATTTTTCTTTTCTTTCAAAAATCAACTTCTCTTAGTTTATAAGGTAAGGGCAACGGCCTTGTATAAGCTCATTCATGATCATTATGGTTATGTGAAACCTGTCACGAGGTTTTTGTGTACATCAACTATCAATGACTCGACGGACATCTAATACAATTTTAGTACTTTTCTATTTTTTTTTTTATCTTAAATTGTTTTAAATGTACAAAATTTAATTTTTTTTTAAATCCTACTGTGGTCCGACAATACATTGTCTCGCCCAGTGGGTTGACGACCCTTTTTTTTTTAATTATTCAATGCGCCATGAAAGTTACAAATTTTCCGTTGTGGTCAATTAATTCAATTTTTTTTTCATATTTGTAACCTTTCACTGCGAATAATTTAGTGGGTTATGATAAAACAATTCTGAATTTTATTTTTATTTTTTGAATAAATAAATAGTTCGTAATAAATTAATCACTCTGTATAGTTACTATTAAGAATAATAAATAATTTAAATATATTTTTTTGTGGGGATCCCATTAGAATTAGTTCTTTACATAACACTAGTATACACTTCTCTACTGTGTAATATTATGGGCTCTAATTAAAAAGAAAAATTAACGTAGAATGTAATCATTTTTTATTTATTTTTTTTTATTTTATAAGCCCTTTATCTGAAACACAAGTTTTGAAATAAGTTTTTAAATTAAAAATTCATTATATTAATCTTAATTTTATAAAATTTACGGAGTTCATTATAACATTTTCCGAAATTTTTCGAAATTTTGTTATACTATAATGTTATGACTGATAGTATTGCATAGAAAAGGTATATTTTTTTAGATTCCTTACACAACCATAAAAACCAGCGTTTGCTATAAAAAAAACATTTTTATTACTTTCAGGCAGTATTATGTTCAAGCAGAACTCTATCCCCAATACATGAAGACCATGTTAAAAATGCCAAATTGAGAATGTACAATTGTTTACTTATAGCTAAAGGAATGGAAAGACGAGGTAAAATGTAAATTTGAAACTATTAGAAATGTCTATAAATGTGATAGAAATTATAAATACAAAATGAGAGTAATACAATTTATGAAAATCAATAACAAATTAATGAAATTTAGTCTATATGTATTGTAATTAATATAAGTACTTAAAAACAACTATTCACAAAATGACAATTTTTTTTTTTGTATAAAAACTAGGTATAATCATTAAATGTTATCATTTTATAAAAATTCTGTCATAAATTTTTTAAATATAAACTAATCAAAATAATTATTTTTATATAAACACAATAGTTATGTCCCTTTTGTTTAATATAAGTTTGTTAAAAATCTGATCCTTTACCTGCCCACGGGGGAGATTCCAAATAGCAATTTTTTGGATGAAAGTTAACATTTTCAACTTAACCTTTAAATTGTTCCAGTTTTTTTGGTACATTTTTAAAAATATGTAAAATTAAAACTTATAGTACATACTATAAGTTAGAAAAAAATATGTTCCGACAACTTATCTTTTATAAATAAAAGTCTCCCGAAGTTAAAAAAAATGTTATTTTGTAAAAAATCACCGTTATTTGTGTTCTTGAAATTTTTTATTTCAATTCTTTTTTTAGTTCCTTATATTTATATTTTAGGGCAAACGGTATAGTTATACACGTGGGTGGGGAAGTGAATACCTTATATATTCCCCCTCACTAAAAAAGTATTTAAAAAATTATTTCAGTATTAATTATAAATATTTTACAGCTTTTAATGTCAATTCAATAAGTATATTAATTGGAAGTAGTTGCCATTATACCTATTATTTCGGAAGTCATAACTATTTTAAAATATAGATTGTTAGTGAAGAGTGGGTTATGTTATTTTTATCATTATTTTGATAAAGTAATTATAAATATAATAAATATAATTTATTTTTTAGCTTCGATGCGAAGCTGAGAAGGTATTAATTTTACTATGGTGTTTTTTTCTTTTTATTTATGTTTTTTTTTTTTGTGTCTGTTACCACTGTTTCTCAGCTCTCACCGAACCGATTACTTTCAACGATACGGCAAAAGATCATAAATCGTATCTAGTCGAAGACATTACCCTCAAAAGTTGAAAAAATTTCCCTCGTTCCCCGTAAATGGGGAAAACCACCAAAAAAATTACAAATGTAAAAATCAGTAAATTTTGTCATTTTTTTCACTTTTTTTTCTTAAAACTATCATAACTTTTTCAAAAATGAACAAATCAATATACTTTTTTTTTTTATAGATGCATGCTGTCTTTACTATCATTTGGTATAAATTTAACCCTTTACCTGCCTACATGGGGGATTTAAAATGACAACTTTTTCACAAAAAATTAACTTTTTCAACTTAACTTTTGAAAGTGTTCCAGAAAGTCTGACACATTAATTTATATATTAAATTAAAGCTAATGTAATTTACTTTATTATGAAAAAAAAAACTTCGAACTTTATTTTGTATTCATGGTGAAAATGACTACCGAATGCTATTTTTCTGTTAAAATTCTAGATTTTATATTTTACATTTTTTTACTTTAAAATGCTATAACTTTTTAAAAAATGTTTGTATCAATACAATTTTTTCATAAAAAGTATGATTAATGTACATCTTTCATTCGACATACTTTTTTTTTAAATCAGACCATTTCCCTATATACTGGGGGCTTCAAAAAAATGCATATAGAAAGTAGAACTTTTTCAACATAACTTTTGAAAGTGTTCCGGAAAGTCTGGCACTTTTATATATATCTTAAATTAAAGCTAATGTAATATACTTTAATATGGAAAAAAAAAATTTCTGACTTTATTTTATCTACATGGTGAAAATGGCTATCGAATACTATTTTTATGTGAAAATTCTCTATTTTATTTTTTACCAGTTAAGGTTAACTGGTCGTTGCTCTTTTAGTCATAGTGTACGTTATTGAACGTGTTTCATTCTAATTAACCAAAAATGCAAAATACAAGTAGTAGTTCGTTTTTGTTATTCGGAAATACGATATCAACAGTCGCGAGAATACGCGCTATGCGTTCGTGTATGAGCGTCAACAATGCCGGCCATTAGTATTATTATTGTTATTGCTATGATAGTGTTGTAGTATTTTCCTATGACACTAAATTGTATGTGAAAATGCAATTACCACGATGGTAATCGTAATCTTTAAGATCGTGACGAACAGAAATAATAATACAAACGGTTTTATGGGACCCGGTTGTTAAATGCAACGATCGCTGTGATATGATATTATGTTTGTTTACCCCACCTGCCTAGCGGTTTTATCAAAACAATTAAACCAGTGCATTCGCGGCTTTGTTACAACTCAAGGTTGTAAGTGCGCGTGTGTATATAGATACAGTAGTCGCCAGAAATCCAATTGTACCGTATTTAAAAATACACAGAAGATGGGAATCTACCATTCGCACAGTGGATAGTATCTATATGATCGGGTGGGAAATTCACTGCTGTCGCCAGTGAATTGTGTGATTGAAATAACTCGGAGAAAAGAGAATGTGAAGGAAACCTAGCTGTCTTATTTGAAAAATAAAAATCAAATCAACAAATGATTTTCTTACCTTAATCCAATGTAAGGCCGGTTGAGATCCTTACCGGGGAGCCAGTTGATACGACTTACGTCGTAAAAATGTGGTCGACATTGGTTTTGAGGGTAAAGACCCGTGAGCCGTTAATTAATGAGCAACATCAGGATATTTTAACAAAAAATAAAACAAACCGAAAAGATGAACACAATAATAATAATCTTCGCATAATATCGCGACATTTTCGTTAGTGTCAAAGACGCGATGTCCGGCGTGATCCTCGGGCATCAAAAGGTTAGCAGCGTTGATGGCGACGGAGCTTGGATGCGGATCGGTTCGTCGACGTTGTCACTTTAACAACGGGAAGAAGACTCTTGTATCATTTGCGGCGGGTCGTCGTCGACCGTACGGCACTTGCTGGCCTTTGCACCGTGGCGTATGGCACGCGATGTTGGTCAGTCAAATACTCCCAGTAGAGTGACGGCTGATAAAAAGGTGACACGAGTCGCTGGGCATCGTGTATAACGAAGCGACGCGGGGCCGTGTCAAACCCTTCTTCTTTAGGATTTATTATCCGATAGCGATTAATCGCTATTAATCCCATTAATCGCGATAGCAATTAATGGGCTGATAAAAGCGAAAAAAAACATATTATATGAAATCTGTTAACACACAAATTTTATTAGAAACATTTGAGAATTTTAAATTTTTGTAGCGAAAAAAATAATAGTTTCAAAAACTCTACAATAATTTGTAGTTAAATCAGTCTTTTTTTCGTCCCACCATGGATAAAGATCCTTATTTATAATTTTTTTCAAATAGGAATCCTTTTTTTGAACTTCATAATATGATAGAAAAAAACTAGAAACAACATTGTTCTTACAATTTTTTTAATTCTAACAAATGTTTTTATTACATATTTATTTAAAGATTTGGATGTCAAGTAAAAATTCATCATTGATTTTGTTCTACCGGTGGTAGTTCCATCCGGTATTATTGCTGCCACAGTAACGGCAATAATATGTTATGATAGGCTATAAGTTATTTATTACGATAGTTATCAAGGCTAGGAAGGCTAGTTGTGCACCGCACTAGAATACCATTTTACTTTAAGCCTGTTTTAATTTCTATTATTGAAGCGGTGTGGAGTAACCTGAAAGGATGGCGGCTAACCGCACATTCAATAAGTAAAAAAAGTAGACAATAATTAAATAAAAAATAACAACATATATATGAAATTTCTCAAAGAGTATCTTAAAATTAAGGGGTAACGGGGGCCTTAAATACTAATGGCTGGTGAAGCGACATAAAACAAAATAGTTGAACTTAATAAAAACGAATTGTAAATAACATTAAATATAATATAAAACTCAACTGAAAAGATGAAGTTGTCGATAGTGATGAGTAGACTATATGAGTTCTTGTGGTAATGGTGTCGAACATTTGAATATCACGAGTCAGAATTTAGATCCAGGCACATAATGGTAGATGAAAATAGACAGCGAAAAAGCGACTAAGGCAATGAAGTTGTTGCGTACGAGGCAGCTAGACCGTAGAACGGCTAGTTGTGCACCGCACTAGAATGCCGTTTTACCTTAAGCCTGTTTAAAAAGCGTTATTAATGATGTGAGTGGGTCACCTAGGAGATGACGGCTTACTATACATCCAATAAGTAAACGAGAGTAGACAATAATTAAATAACAAATAATCACATATATTTGAAATTCCTCAGAGAGTATCTTAAATTTAAGGGGTAACGGGAGGCCCTTAAATACTAGTGGCCGGCGAAGCCGCATAAAACAAATAGTTAATCTCAATTAAAACAAACAATAAATAACATTAAAAATAATATAAAACTCAGCTGTATAGATGACGTTGTTGATGATGATGAGTGGACTGTATGAGATCTTGTGGTAATGGTGTCGAACATCTGAGTATGACGAACAAGAGTGTAAATCCAGGTACGTAATGGCAGATGAGAACAGACTACGGCAATGATAATGTTTAGTGATGGTCAGGGCCCAATCACTAGTAGCGTGCAAGGGCACGTAAACTTTGAGCACAAGGGTGCAATAAACAAATAAAGAATAACGGCGTACAATGGCCGAACAATTTACTATTCAAGCGAAGGCGCTTGCAACAGAAAAAAAGTGACACAAGAAAACATATTGACTGACTGACTTATGACAATGAACTGTGCACGGATGACAATCGACAAGGAGGTCATCGATTTGCCGTGATGGGTGGGCAAGGGGGTGAGTAAAGCAAGATGCTGGTGGTCAGCTGTTCTACGAAATAATATAAACAATGATCTTTGTAACAACTGATCAACTAGATCCTTCTAAAGGCGTTCTGAACCATACAGAAGTTATTTAGTGATGGTCAGGGCCCAATCACTGGAAGAGTGGAAGGACACAAGAATTTTGAGCACAAGGGTGCAATAAATAAATAAAAAAAATTATGACGCACAATGCCCGTACAATTTACCAATCAAGCAAAGGGGCGAGCTACAAAAAATATGTTACATAAAATAGACAACATATAGCCATCGATTAGCTATAGAGGATATGTAAGGGGGTGAGTAAAACAAAGACGCTAGAAATCAGCTGTCACACGATATAATATGATAAACGGTGTTTGTGACAACTGGTCCACTAGTTCTTTTCTAAAGGCGTTCTCTACTAAACAATAGGGATTATCATATAGGATATTTAAATAAGGAAGAAAAAAAATAAATTTTAAATTAAATTATATGTTAATATTAGTGAGTATAAATTATATGTCTTAATTTAAAAAATTCTGTGAATTTTAGCATATGCGAATATCCCTAATAATGTACATACAAAATTAGATGATTTTATTAATATGATTAATATAAATCAATGGAATTTGAAGAAATACTCTAAAGAGTATTATGAATGCATTAAAACAACAGATTTATTTGAGGAAGGTACTAAAGCAATATTAAAAAAATATATAAAACAATGTCTTAAGCAATTTTACTATGATGTATCTACTACTGAGGTAAATAAAGTTAAAATAATTATTATTTAATAAAACAAAATTTTAAAATCGTGTGAATCGATATTATAAGAATTTATTTTTTCAAGATATACAAACTTTTAATATTGATACATATTTGAAATTTTTTGAAATAAAATATCTTCGTTATATCTTGACATTGCTGAAGATTAACCCTTAAGCAGGCTCGTACCTGTTTTTAACGATCATAGTCGCGTGGGGGTCTATTAGATCCCATTTCTAAAAAAGTATAAAATATGTATAAAACAGTTCATTTTTTTTAATTCAAAGACATTATTTGTTACCATATGATATATAAATATGGATAAAAATTAAAAAATAAATAAATTACAAAATTATGTGCATTACTAAAAATTATATTACGAAAAAAAAAAAAATTAATTTTCAAAATTTCATTAAAAAATTTTGGTTTGTAAAAAAATTATTTTAACTGCAAAATCTTATTTTTAAGACGGTAAATAAAAGCTTTTACTATTACAAAATGTATTTTTATTAATTTTTCTTGTATTTCTTTAAGCTCAAACACTGCTTATATTTATTAATTTTATGTGTATTTACATTTATATAATCATTTTTCTTAATTGAATTTTTTTATTATTAATATTACAATACATTTAATTATTATGAAACGAGTATATACAATTATTAGTTCCGTATCATCGAGTAGTGGAAATTCTCAATAGATTATTTATTCTTAAAACTTAATTGCACAGTCGGTGGCAAATCCACATAATCCCAATTCCACAATATTATATCGGTTATAACATTGCATTTACGATAAAACAATATTTTGAAAAAAAAACAAGTCCAAAAAAAATTATAACGTTACAAGCCGCGTGGGGGTCAATATGACCCAATGCGACTTTTATGGATATTTTAAGTCATACATTTTTTTTTCGAAGGGATTTATTTATGAAAATCGATTCAATATTACTATCAAAACCATCTTCTAAATTTATATCTATGTACACCTTTTATGCAATATAATACATCCGTTTTTATTTATGTGGGGGTATGCTAGACTCCCACGTGACTGTTTAAGGGTTAAAAAACTTATATTCTTCATTTACTATACAACAGTGAAATTTTATTTTTGTCCTCTTGCATAATTTCGAAAAATCGAGTTATGTGGTTTTGACCACATAACTCGATGATATCCACAGCTTACACATTTTTTAATCTAAAATATTGCATTTAAAAATCCTGAATAGTATTTATTAATTTTCTTATAAAAATATGACGGTTACAAAATAAAATTTGAGAAATTACCTACTCATTACGAGATTTCTAACATTTAAAGTTATTGAATAGAGTGGACGAGTTCATACTGTCCTCATTATTCATTCTCGAATATTGAATATAGTCTCAAATTCTAATTGTTTTTTTTTTAATGAGTGATCTATCATAAGATAATTTAAAAAAACTATATAAATACCCTTATTGGCCCATCTACAATCTCTAGTAAATACAGGTTGAACTTTTCTTTATCGACCTGAATATTTACATAATTTAATTGTAAATAAACATACACTTTTTATAATTAAATAATGTTTAATATTGATCCTTTTAAATTTCAGGCTGGTGAGACCTCTCAACAGTCGACGAATAATTTTTGTTCAAATTTATAAAAATTCAAATAAATCACATTTTTAATTTGAAAATATATTTATAATATAAAGCATATAGTTTGTTATTACACAAATACTGTTAAAATTAAAATTTCTACATAAGCGAAATGTTTTTATGATAACATAAATATTAAAATTATTTGCTTCTTTACAAAGTTCAAACTTAACAATTTCCGCTAAAAGTTGATTAAACAAGATTCTTAATTAGAATATTTTTTGAAAATATTTATTCTAATTTAATTTTTGTCTAAACGTTAAATTATTCTATTGAACTCAGATACTAAGTCTTATACAAATATTCTATAGATTTAAAAGACCGTAGAAAAAGATAAAATTAACAACTTATATTTTGTGTCAAATATCAATGTATTTGTGATTTACTATCATATATTCTATGTATCATTGATAAGTACAAATAAATAAATTCAGTGCACTTTTAGCTTCGATACGAGGCTGAAAAGATATTAATTTTACCATTATGTGTTTATTTTATTATTTTTTTTTTTGTGTCTGTCACAACATTTTCTCAGCTCTCACTAGACCGAATTTTTTTCAACGATACATTAAAATATCACAAATCTAGTTGAAGATATTGCCCTCGAAAATTGAAAAATTTTCCCTCATTCCCCATATAACAGTGGCGGCTTTGTTTATAGGGACACTGTTATCACTGTTGTAATTTGTATAATTATATAGAAGTAATGTGTAAAATCTATGGTAACATATTTAATAATTAATAATTATATTTATTTTATATAATTAAAATAGTATACAGTAATAAGTTTTAAATTATCGATTCTTTATTGTTTATGTGTGTGTTTGTTATAGAATTTAATATTAATAAAAAACTTTATTGTAGAATCGATCAACTTATTGTCGTAATATGCATAATGTTCTGCATTACGCATCTTACATTATCAATACAAAATTATTACTCTATATTTAATACCAATTGTATACAACACAAATAATTAATTTATCTGTCATAACATATACACATTTGTACAGTAGCTATTATATATGTGTATACATGTTAAATTGATTATTGTATACTATGCATCATATCTTAAAAATAATTATCATGTTATGTTTCATCAAATTTTACACAATAAACTGAAAATCACTAAAAGCGCTGACGGCAACAACCCATGATGGGGGTAATTAAAAGAAATATAAAAAGGTGCTGATTTTTTAAGAGAGGAGAATTCTCTCTTCTTTTTGAAGACCTGAATTCAATAAGGAATTCAGAATTCTTCTATTTGATTTTGAACAAACTAGCCGTGACCCCGTGTTGTCGTCTGTATATTTTAAAGCGATATTGAATACAATTATTTTGCGTTAACACTTTATTTATTTAAAAGAGATAGTATAAATATTTACGCAAACCTTGACGATCTTTATACAAGCCAGATAAAAAAGTAAGTAAATTTATATCAACCCAATTATTTAAAGTTAATAATCTGAGTAAAGAATGATAAAGCAATAGATCACATATTTATATTCAAACTTTATTAATTGTTACTGACTAGTTCGTACCTTATACACAATCACATTACATGGTATTCGTGAGATGGCCACCGCCTCTTCGTTGCCTCAGTGTATTATTTCAGGTACTTACCAGTTAGGTCATTTGTAATATCTCTATAGAGAAACTTTAATAAATTCTTTTTATATCTACTTGTCTTTATTGTTCTAAACCCTCGGACTCTACAACCCCGATAGAACCTCGTTGCTCCTGAATTGACCAAATCCCTAACATCCAACTTTGGTCAAAAATAAAATACCCAAATAACATCTTTTTGCTTATTTTTGTGTTACTACATTATTATTGAATAAAATTACACCCATAAATGATGAAAATTCCCCAAAAAAATTACGATTATTAAAATCAGTAAACTTCAACATTTTAGCTTCGATGCAAAGCTGAGAAGATATTAATTTTACTATAACGTGTTTTTTTTTATTATATTTATTTTTTTTTTTGTATCTGTTTCCACTTTTTCTCAGCTCTCATTGGACCGATTTCTTTCAGCAATACGTTAAAAGATCACAAATTGTATCTAGTCGAAGACATTACCCTCAAAAATTGAAAAAATTTCCCTTGTTCCCCGTAAATGGGGCAAACACCTCCAAAAAAATTACAAATTTAAAAACCGCTTATTTTCGAAATTTTTATTACCTTTACCTGCTCACAAGAGAGAATTCAAAATGTCAACTTTTTCATAGAAAATTAACTTTTTCAACTTAATTTTTTAAAGTGTTCCAGAAATACTGACACTTTTATATATATCTTAAATTAAAGCTAATGTAATATACTTTAATATGAAAAAAAAAATTTGGGCTTTATTTTATTTTTATGGTGCAAAACGGACATCAAAGTTAATAACAAAATACGATTTTTATAAAAAAATTCTTTTAATATTTTTAACTTTTTAATGTTATAACTTTTTGAAAAATGTATGGATCATTATAATTTTTTTAAGATAAGTAATATTTATATTCTTCTTTTATGCGACATACTTTTTTTTAAATAAAACCATTTCTCTTTATATATTTATATATTACACTTATAAATCATATAACTTATAATTAGGATATAAATTAGGACATAGGAAATCATATAACTTTTGGAATAATCCACCAATTTTATAAATTAAACACTATCTACAGATTTGTATCAAAGAGTTTTTTATGATAGTGATTAATAGTTAAAAATTTATTGTGATAGTATTAATCATTGTCAGATATCATTATACTTGACTCAACTCTGCCTCGTCTTAACTGTGCCGTGACTCCACTGTGCTGGGTTTTTTTAATTTTTTTTTCTAAAAATTACCATAACTTATTGAAAAATGAACGAATCAAAATCATTTTTTGTTTTTTACTAAAACCTTAGATTTTCCTTTCATTTGATATAATTGTTTTTATAAATTTGACCCTTTACCTGCCCACAAGGGAGGAATTAAAATGTCAACTTTATGTCAAAAAATTAACTTTTTAAAGTGTTCCGGAATTACTGACACTTTTATACTTGTATATGCCTTAAATTACAGATTATGTAACATACTTTAATAGTATTAGATAGTATAATAGTAGATTTAAGTAGATAAACATACTTAAAAAGTATCACATAGTTAATAATTAAAGAATAATGTGCAACATTAGAAAACCAAAAAAAAATTTTTTTAATTATATTTATTCTGTAAGTAATTGAGTGAGTTACAATAAAAAAATCACTCTATATATATACATATATTACAAAATTTTATAATTTTAAAATATTGTAAGTTTTAATTTAAAAAAGTGTTTAAATTTAATCAAAATATTTTTGCGCATCATGATATTTTCTTCTAACATAATCTCTTGAGACTTATGAAAATATTTTTAAAAGGAATTTAAAACTATTAATTTCACCAATATCTGTTTTTCTAAATTTTGACCTGCTTAATAATACTTTTAGTAATATATCAGCTAAGGTGTGAAATCTACGAGTTAAAAAATACAAAAATTCAAAATAAAAATGTTAACAATAATTTGATAAATAATTACGTCCGTCAATAACATTTTTCTTCTAATCAAACACAACTTTATTGCTACTTTTAATGTCATTTTTGTTCTGTTTTTCTACCTAGATAAAATTTATAAATAATTTATCGTGATAAGTTATATTAGAAGAGGACATATAAAGTGTTCAGTGAGTAAGGGAGCAGATTAATTTTTATAAACAATGGAAACAATAGAAATCCGTTTCCTTACTTATTGAACACTCTGTATAAAAAAAATTACATATTACACATTGTAAAATCACAAGCAGTATTTGTGCTACATATTAACTCTTACAAAAATGACCCTTTAAACTGATAATTCCGTTGAAGAAAAAATCTACATTATGTTTTCCTCTACACAATATTATCTAGTGTCATTAGGTAATACTCTCTTATAGAGCAGCTGACCCATTAGCCGGTAAATTATAATACGATTTTCTAAAAAAAGTATCTTACAAAAATAAATATATTAACAATTAGCCTCATTTTAATTTTAATATGAAGCGTATAAGGTATTAAGATGTGTTTTTTTTATGTCTGTTAACACTTTTTCTCAGCTCTTATTAAACCCAAATGTAAATGAGGGTAATCCCCCAAAAATTTAAAATTTTAAAAATCGATAATTTTCAACATTTTTTAAACTTTTTTTTTAAAACTGCCATGATTTTTTTAAAAATGACAAATCATCATATTTTTTTTATATAGATACTTTAGATATATTCCTTCCATATGGTATATTTTTTGTGAAAATTTGACCTTTTACCAACTCATAAGACGGGTGTCAATATGGCAACTTGTCCTCAAAAAATTGACTTTTGAAAATGTTTCGGAAATACTGACACTATTAAATATTGTAGTATCATATTTTAATACATGTAATAAATAACACATATACTTCATAAAAATATATCACCAAATCAACACATAAAAAATATTGGTATTTTATTGACTAATTTTTTATGTATGCATATTGTAATATTGTATAATTTGTACTAGTTTTCTTATTTAAATCTTATCAATTAGTGGTTTGTGCATTAGGTGTAAAGTATTTTAATAGTTGTGTATGTGATAACCTCCACTAGTCAACCGGTCCGATATCTGTCATCCTATCGTCATCAGCCGACCGTACACTGTGCACCTGTACCAATATTGATGTATTTCCCCCCAATGAACGTTTTCAAAGTTGGCACCAACACCATTCGGCGACATCACTTCCGGCTACTACACGATATCATTACAACTTTAAGTCTTCTCAGCTATACTACCGAGGCGACAAGTCGTTTTTTCTTTGTTTTTTTTTCTATGATGAAAACCATGTTTTCATTGTTTTATTTTTTTTTGTCCTTCGTTTTTTTTTTTATTAAAATAAAACCTTGATTCGATCTGCCGTCAACCAGACCGATCATTTTTTTGTCCTTGAGATGTCGATGATGATGTGAGACAAAACAATGGCCGGTAGTAGGCCGTCACTCCTCAAAAAATCAACAACAAGTAAAACATGAAACCCCTCTTTTCAACCCCCTCACTAATGTTATATACAGAGTGATTTTTT